CAACTAAAGGTGACATAGATACTTTATTATGGTATAGTATTTAAATGTATGCCTGAGAAACACATAATATTGCCCCTTTAAAGCAGATCACACTGAGAAAAACAATCAAAGGTTTAATTAGACGACTTGATGCTTCTTTTTAGGGACCATAGGACCATGTTACTGGATTTTTCATCTTGAAAATCACATCTGTTTTCTAAAAAATGTCTTTGCTTCCACAGTCCTTTTAATATAGGCAACCTGGAGCTTTAAAAAATAAATTTCCTTGCTTTAAATAACTATATGGATTGTTTCTGTCACAAAATGAGGCGGAAACTTCTCCATCAAACAGAGGCCATCCCAAATGCACTGGCTGTTGAAAAGCTTGCTTGCAACATTTTTGAGCTTTAAATCATGTTATGGTGTCATTCCCTCATTAAAAACATATTCATGCATGTTTGAGAACTCCTTGAATCTCCTGGTAGCCATGTGGAGCTTCCTTAACCCTTTCTGGTACAAAGCTCCGCCTATTTACCCAAAGCTCCTCCCTGGAGCTCAGTCCTCAGCTGAGCTCTCACCCCACAGAACACCTCTCCCCTGAAGCATTGTTGTGATGACGTGCTGAAGTGGGAGTGTCAGGAACAGTAGGAGTTTCTTAAAGAGACAGAGGCCAATTTTGAAGCATTTAGCTAGGTTGCGATGCAACGTCTAATTTATTTGTTATACAACATTTTTCATAAAAACTGAAGGTAACACAGTTACTTGATTGTGGAATAGAATTGAAATGTGCCTGGAAAATATATGACCCCCCACCACTTAAAGGTTTTACAGGCATTTAATTATTAGGGATAAGAGCAAACATGATAGCATCATTGGGGGACATGATGTAGGCACGGTTCTGCAAAGTTTACTCTTTAACATGTAAATAAATTAATAAGACATCCTAGGCAACTCATGCAAACAACACATTCCGAATATTGTCTCAATTAGAATCACAATGAGGTCAGTAGTTAGGAAATTGCTATGCATGCAAACATAGCCACAGTTAAATCCTTCCTTGGAATACATTTAAATTTCCACAGTCACAAATAACCGCAGCTGAATCATAGAGGCTATTTACAGGCTGAAGACAATAAACTTGCCAGACACAGAAATCATTAGAACAGCTACAGTATGGATGAGTCACTAACACAGCATTTATTGGTTGACAAAAAAAAACCACCTACAATATGGCTTATGATTGACCAAATAAAAGGTGCGAGGCAGCTGCTAACAGGAAAGCCTTGAGAAGAAGAACTGCCGGCTACATCCTTGTATCAGGTTTTTCTTTATCGCGCTCTCTTTTATCAATCTTCCTTTTGTCAGAGACTCCCACAATCTGTTCTCTCCGCACTCTGCGATGTGTCAGATGCACCTCAACTGCTTCCAGTTTCTAAGTCACTCCAGCAGCATCCCTGATCAGTCTGGCGTTATTCAAACCTTCACCTTTTCTCAGCGTATTCTCACAGTTGTTCTGCACCGCTGATTTCTTGCCCCAATTAGTTTGATGCGTATACGCATGAGTGTTTTCCAGAAGTTTACCATTTGACTTGTCAACACCAGGAAGTCAATACGTGTTTTTCTATTGATCCTGTTCCAATCCCTCACACTGTAAAAAATAACTTGTAAGATTTACTAGAGAAAAACCTGTAAATGATTTGCACTAACGTTTGGTAAGTAAATTTAAATGCTACATATTCATGTAATATTTACTCTCATCATTATCTAGTAAAAGTTATTAAGAGTTAAAGATTTGTCAATAAATCAGGTAAATTTTACTTAATTTGCTCAATTAAATCTTGTAACATATACTTGATCAAATTAAGAAAAAAAATACCTGATTTATTCACAAATCTTTAACTATTCTTAAAGGGGCAATATCATGTAAAATCTACTTTTTTGAGTTTTATATCATCTTATAATGCTATACTCTCATATAAACATGCCCAAAGCCTTGCTATGACTCATTCATGCATGTTTGAGAAATCCTGCAGCGTTTTTAGGCAGCCATGCTGAGGAGCAAAARGACAGGTGGGGACCAGAAACGCCTTTTGGTACCAGAAAGCCCCTGGGACGTGTCTTTAAGCCGAACTTCCTCATGGCAGAGTGCACCCCCTCCCCCCACACCCCGCCCATGACTCCTGCAGGCTCTCGGGTGAAAGTGAAAGTGAAACTTACTGTCGCTCTCAACATTAGTTCTCACTCAGTCAAGCTCTTTTCAGATTAAAAATACCTTTGAGGAAATGTATTTTCAGATGCCAAGTAAACTGCATCATGTCGCACGCACAGCCCCTATCCACGCGTGTACGAGCCCCCCGCGTGCGAACACCCCCGAACAGGACGGAACAGAAGCAGAGGGAGGTTCTTAAAGAGACAGAGGCCAATTTCAAGGCGTTTAGAAGAGGAAGTGATGAGAAGATGTTTTTTTTTTCTATTTAAACATAAAAAACAGCATTTTAGTAACAGCTAAAGGTGACATATATACTTTATTATGGTATAGTATTTAAATATATGCCTAAGGAACACATAATATTGGCCAATTATTAACTTTTACTAGATAACGCTGAGTAAATATTACATGAATTTGTAGCATTTAAATTTACTTAACAAAAGTAAGTGCAAATTGTTATGAGGATTATTTCTAGTCAATCTTACCAGTTCTTTGTAACAGTGCACGTGCGTCAAGCACAATATTGTAGCATGACACCTCACAGCTAAAGACAGAGGTGTAGCTCATGTTGTAGTTCAAGAC